GATTATATCTTTGGAAGAGCGATGGGAAGGATTGAAAAAGTCCAATGTACACGAATTGTAGAAATTTTGAGTTGTTTGATAAATGGTTGAACAGCTTTTCTATTTTTATAACGATTAGTCACATTCGTTTGCAAACTTTTAGCTTTTCAGTTATTTCTCAAAGGTTCTGTCTCCTTAATTCTCTGATCGATACATACTATTTTTAGATAGTCTTCAAATGGAACTGCGATAGCGGAGAATGCACAGTTTACGAGAGGAAGGAGTTGCCACGATGCTTTTCCGGTGTCATGAGCTCACAGTTCGATTTTACCAAATTTCGTAGGATATGTATACTTTCCGGTTGTGATTATCTACAAGTAAGTATGGATATAAAGGCATTTGATAGCTTTCCCATTTTGGAAAAAGGCGCAAAAACGCGGATTCTTTTTCTAATCCCTGTTTCCAGGCGGGTTTACCAGGGATCGGCCTGAACAAAGCTTTAGCATTCTTCTCCAAAACTTCGCGAACGGATCTCAAAATGGTTGGTAACTCCGTTATCTGGTATAGATCAATAGAAGATTGTGTGTGATTTTTCAGCTTCTACCTCGTATTCCAAGTTATCTGAATATGTCCAAATTGACAGTTTCAAAGGAGTTTATTCAAGAATTTATACGGGCTGAGAATACTTTCATCCATCAGGTAAATCCTTGGAAGTTTTGCTAAAATTTTAGCTGTGAATTTAAGGTTGTGTTTGATCCACGGCAACGATGTCAACGCCCGCTCACACCATATCCGGTTCCACAAAAACAGCAGTCTGATGAGAATGATGATGATGTAAGCAAATAGACATATAACGAAACGTTTTCCGCGATCAACCCCTCTTCTTGAAAAATTTCTTATGTGATTATATCACTAAATAGCATGTCTTTTTTAGTTCGCGAGGTCAAACGATAAGGATGATTACTCATACGCAGGAGAAGTATTATCATCCAATTTGGCTGTGAGATTAGCACTGGGCAATCAGGTAAGCCTCTTTTCTGCGAACTTCCTTTCATAGCCATCGTCAGAAAATCATAGCGAAAGAAGAGTGAGAATGCTCTAGGAAATATGTTGTAGTTGGGGACGAGGAGCAAAAATCGGTTTGGTTGATTCAAATATGATTTTTTTTTTCAGGAAAAGAACTCACAAGACATTTGATTAACCCTATACTTCATTATTGTTTTTGATATCTGTTTACTAATCTTTTGCTCTACATTCGCAACCACTGATCACAACGATCTATCGGCATGTTGCCTATAGGTTCGATCGTTTTGGGGGTTAACACTGGTTTTTTAACTAGTTCTAGGATAAATAACATTGATTTACAGCATGACATCGTAACCTACGACATAGCGCTTAAAATTGAGATGAATATCAGTTCCAATAAGCATATCAAGCGAAACTATAAATAATCATATCACTAAATATTCTAAGAAGTTTCTGAAACACCACCTTTCTGAAAATACAATTTTCTGGTGGGTGTTCACTTTGAGAAAATAGACCTTTTAGAAGTAAAAATAAGAAAGATCTTGTTGTGACTGTTCCCAAGAAGAACAATGGTTGCACATTCAGCCCTTATCGAGTTTTGATACAGGCTTTTATCTTGCCTACTTGTTAAATTAATTTAGAAATTCAAAAACAGTCAAATTGTTTATGAAACCGATTGGGATAAGCGAAGATACTCATCTCGAATTTGATGATATCAATGCATTCAATAAAACGGTATTTAAAAGTTTAGATCGAGAAGTCTGTTATCATGGACAAGTTCTTTTTACCATCTCCTGTACCGGAATGGTCCGTTTGGTGTGATCAGTTTGAAAGTTGTGGTAAGCGAAAGCGCCGAATTGAAGAGACACAGAAAGAAGAGGCAAAGAAATGCGGCTCAACATTCAAAGTAATTTTTGCTATTATATGTAGCTTAGAATTTCTAATCTTTTTTTGCAGTTTGATTCGCCATCAAAAAAACGAGTGAAGCTTGACCCCAGTACCACCATCGATGTCATCAATTTGGATGAAGAGGACAATGCTAAAGCTGAGGTAGCTAAGAAGGGAGTTGAGACGGATGGGGCCAGTCAGGGAATGGAGAAGAGTGTTCCAAAGATTGAAAGGTCGAATTCTTCGAGCAGTGGGAAAAAGGAAAATTTGGTAAGTTGATCGCGAAAATTTCCTTTTGGATATCAAATATTTACTCAAGGAAACTCGTCCGAAGCGAATCAAAAATCAAGCAAGCTATGATTGGACCGTTGACGAGATTATGAAGGCTTATGGCCCAACAGAGCAAGGACAGTCCACCACATCATTGCCAGCCTCACCTAACCCAGGGACAGAAAAGTCCATAATAGCTGCTACAAGTAAGACGTGAAAGATTTGAAAAAAAAAGGATGAAAAATGAGCTCCACATCGGCCCAAAAT